AGATGCTGTGTAGATAGTTCTAACTTGGGAAACTGTCTAGGAAGAATGACTTTTAAAGAAGGTTTTATGCATCCCACAATGAGTAATATAAGGAAGGAAAGAATTTGGATTATATACAAAGAACTTAAATTGAGTCTATGGATCAGAGAACTTCTATTCCAGTCACCTATTTTGTTTGCTGATGTTTCCTTTCACAGGGAAATCATGTAAGTATATTCCTAACTCTGTACTTCTTCTTCTGTCCTTTCTGATGTTATTACTGCATGGAAGAAATTTTCTAAGGGTAAAGGGATTTGACTTAACACTTGGAAGTTAGCAGAATATGCTACCCCAAAATATCACACTTTGGCATAAGGGGATGGAGGAAATGAGGACTATTTTGAGCTAAAGGCTCTTGAAAAACAGCAGGTGCCAGAAGGGTGTTCCAACTTCTTTTTCCCCTGAAAGTATGTGATAAGTTTCCTCACATGGAAGTTGTTTATCCTATACTAGAAAGAAAGTAACATTTATTCACCAGAGACAAGGAGTTTCATTCCTGTTAGAATGGTCGTCATCAGAAAGACAGAGGTAGGTTGGCAAGAATTTGGCTAAAAAGGAAACACTTGTGCAGTGTTGGTAGGGTGTGACTGATATAGTCACCATGGAAAAGAATATGGAGGTTTATCAAAAATTAAAAATATAACTACCATATGATCCAGTAATCCCACTGTTGGATTTATATCCAAGGAAAGTCACATAAGATTTGAAAAGATAATCTGAATTTCCACATTGACTGCAACATTATTCATAATAACCAAGATATGGAGACAACTTAAGTTCTAAGTGTTCATTGATGGAAGATTGGGTAAAGAGATATGATGTATATGTGATATATATCTCCATGTATCCATGTATAATGAAATATTATACAAACATGAGAAAAAGGGAAACTGCCATATGCAATATAATGAATAGATCTTGAGGACATCAAGCTAAGTGAAATAAGTCTGGCAGAGAAAGACAAAAATTGTATGATCTCATTTATATGTAGTATCTAAAACAAACTCAATCTCATAAAAATATAGAGTGTGATTACCAGTGGGTAAAGGGTAGGGAAATGAGAAAATATTGATGGAAGTATATAAACTTACAGTTATATAATTAGTAAGTTCTGGAGCTCTACTGCACAGCATGGTGATTATAGATAAAAAATATTGTATTTTATACTTAAAAGTTGCTAACAGAATGGACCTTCAGTGTTCTCATCACATAAAAAAGAAATGATAATTTATGTGATGCAGTTGAGGTGTTAGCTAACACTATGTCATAGGTACAATAAACAGGTGTATCAAATGAACATGTATATCTTAAATCTGCACAATATTAGGTATCAACTATGTCACAATAAAGCAAGAGAGAAAAGAATAAAGAAGGGAAAAAGATTGAGATAATTTCATAAATAAAAACAAAAATATAAATTATCTTTTGAAGCATATAATCAAAAACAACTGAAAAAATATGCTTCTGAAAAGAACACAGTCTAAGAAAATAGAGTTTCAGAAGAAAAAATGAAAAGTAATACTAACAAAGAATTTATTTCATTTGGGAAATTTTATCTTAGTTACCATGGAGATGGTTTCAGAGGAAACCCATATATTTTAGAAGGTCATGGCTTGTTGTCAATTGTACTTTTGAATCTACACACAAAATGTTTAGTGTACGTGAGCAAAGACCAATACTGAAAAGCAAGAGTTGTGCAGCTTCAAGTTCAGGTGCTGAAAATCTTAAGATTGCATTTTTAGTATATGCACATGATTTGTATATAATTTTATAGCATTTTGACAAAAAATCCATTCTGTTGAAATACTAAATAGTACCTTGCTATTATAAACAAAATAGCTAAACTTAGAATTATTTATATTTTTAATAAAAATGCAGAACATAAGTTAAGAACTTTTTTCTTTAACCAAGTTTCCTCTGGATGTCTCTTAACTGGCAGTGGTGGGAGTGGGGTGTGAACTGTGTGGGGGGGAAAGTGACATTTTAAGATACCAGAAAGAGTGAACTGCATAATGCAAAGTGAAAATGAAGCTGGAAAATGTCAAAAAAGACAAAGCTACTAAACCTCGTTTGCTTCAGCTTGTCAAACTCAATTTCATCTACAAGATGTAAAAGATCTTTTGGAAAATAATTAAGTTCAAGAGCCTGCAAGGTCTAAAATGAATCCTGAGGTTACTGAAATTTTTAATAAAAATTTCAAGGTATGCAAGTATATCTGGGTGGCACACAACAGAGAACTTCAAAAGTAGCAAGAGGCATCTCTGCCAACATGTTTCAAGACAATGGACTGCTTCGTTTCCCTTTTTTAACATATAAAATTGTATTTTATAATTTAGTATAATTAATATATAAAATGCTGTGGGTGATAAAATGGTATGATGTTTCAATTGTACAAAGTGATGATTTGATATGTATATACATTATGAAATGTCTCCCCCACATCTTGTTAATTAACACATCACATTTTTTTTTTTTTTTATGAGAACAGTTAAGTTCTACTCTCAGGAAATTTCAATTTAAAACTCAGTGCCATCAACTGCAATCACTATATTTTATATTAGATCCTCAGACCTTATTGATCTTATAGTTGAAAGTTTGCTCTCTTTCACCAACCAACTTCTCCCTACATGCCCCCACTCAAACCCTGTCCTCTGCCTCCCACTTTTCTGCTCTGTTTTCTTATAATAGCAAAGCAGCTCAAGTTAGTGATGATTATGGTAAAGATTCCAGTAATTATTTATAGAAACAAAATTTCTACTACAATAAACATGAAGAAATATAGTAATGAAAGAAAAAGTTGCTTACATTGAAATAATGTTCCTTTACATATTTGCTTAGAAAAAATCCTACCTACTAATAATGTGTAAACAACATAGAAAATAGATTAATCATTACTACATAAAGCAGTGTTTACAAAATTGAGATCTTTATACATATACCCATAATTGTTGTTTAAATATTGAAATGCTTGCATTTGGTTCGTTACTAGATTCTGTTCCATAAAAGTGTTCTCCTACTAAGATAACTGTGAAGTCCTGGAATTTTTGGTGTAACTGAGTGTACCCAAACCAAAAAATATTTTTGTTTATTTAAATGTGTTTCCTATTTCCAAATCTTGTACCCATATGGATGTTACTCTCCAGAGATGCTGCATTTATTTTTTATGGACAGAAAGAAGCTTATGATCAATACCAATGAGCAATATTTTTGATGAACATTGTCACATATCTCCAGACACTGTCTATGCACTCATCTGACCACCAATTACACATACCTAGTAAAAAGTAATGAAAGAGTCTCTGGTTTTCTGTATGACTGATGAATGCCATTTCTCAGGTAGAACACTTCTTGGCAACCTAACTTCAGAGATTCATCCTGAACTATTTTATAGCTAAGTAAAGTTGTTTGATTTTAATACTTATATTTGCATGTGAATTTAAGATTAAGTTGTTCCAAGTAATTACCTAAAATGAGAGGGTGCTACTTCTAATATATTAGTAGATAAGTCAAACTGCCAATAGAGGGGCCTCCCTGGTAGCACAAAGGGTTAAGATGCAGCACTATGAAGCAATCTGCAGCCACTGCAGCAACAGTTTGATCCCCAGACAGGGAGGTGACCCACATAGCGCAGCAGATCTCTCTTGATTAGCACGCTGCTTCCCTCAGCAGTGTGTTTCAGTACATCTGCCTGTTCTGCTCTGTGCTCTGTACCTGGTGAATCCTATCACCCCCCACACCTCTGGCCTGTACCCCAGTTCTTATATACATAAATATTTTTTTTAAAAAACTGCTAATAGAGAGGAAAAACAAATGTCAAAATTACAATTATCCTACACTTGTGTTGAATTATTCCCCTAGTGATAAAGACAAAACTCATTTATTTAATGTGACAAACAGGGACTTGCAGAAAACAGATTTCACATACAAAGGATTTACATGTAGGTAGTTTAATGGTGTATTTACAGATGTAGTTGCAGCATTAAAGTAACCAATAATGGTTCATGAAATATAATGAAAATAGCAAGAATAAGGAACTGTTATCAATCATACCTAAACCCAAAGGAATAAATGGAGAAAAATGTTACCAAAATCCAGACTCAGAACTACGAACAAAGGACCAATCATAGACACTGACTTTTTTAAAATGATAGGCATAGAAGAATCAGGAAAATATCTACCCACGACTGCCTTTCTCTCAGTTCCTCAATTTTTAACCTGTGTCAAACGCAACTGGAACCAAAAGCAAGAGACTACAGGTGATGCAGAACATGGAGATCACTCTTTGGAGTGCCAGATTTGAGCAGAAAGAGCTGAGAAAAAATCTATAAGGAAAAACAGAAGTGTTCTGGTCATTTGCCGGTTTGTTCTCTAATCTATTATATGTCTTTCCTTGATCTGACATTAGCAGGAAGTTCCATTTGCAAGACTTTAGGCCAACCTGTTTAACAATGTAGTCACTGGGAGTTTTTAGGCAGAGACTGGGGAATTCAGGAAATCAAAAAATCATGCTATCTGTCCCCATCTTTCTCTACCTCAAACATTGTAAGGAGTGTTCACATATTTTCTGTACTCTTGCTAACACTGCACAACCCTTCTGCCATTGTCACAACTCCCACAAGGCAAAACAGAACAGGGCAGATCAAGAATATGTTTTAGTTTCAGGGCCTCCCCGGTGGCTCAGCAGTTGAGCGCTGGGTTGCGAAGCTGCCCGCAGCCTCTGCAGCGCTGGTTCAATCCCCGGCTGCTCCCAGGCCACTGGAGGAGGGTCCCACATGGCGTGCAGACCTCTCCTGCCACCCGCTGCTCCCCTCAGCAGTGTACTTTGGTCTGCCTGCTCTGTTCTCCGTTCTGGCTCTGGTGAATTCTCTCACCCTCCCACACTTCTGACTGTACCCAGTGCTTGTATAAATAAATAAAACAAATCTAAAATAAAAAGAATATATTTTAGTTTCAATGACAAGTCCAAGCTTTTGAACTGAGGTAATACTACCTTCTCTGTCCCTTTAGACAAGGGGTGACTGCTTCCACTGTCAGGTCTGTTTCACATTTCTTAGTCTTCACATTTCTAAGTCTTCTATCACCTGTGCAGACAATTACCATTGTTAAATTTCCTCTATTTGCTATATCAAGAGTCATTTTTGTTGCTGACAGGAGACTGATAAAATCCTGGCTTAATTTATAATTGAAAGACATTCTCATAGCCATAGATTTACTTCCCAAGTTATTTAATAAATTGAAAGTGTGATTTGACATCATAAAAAGGGATATGGTAAATAATTGTACTAGTTTCTCTCAGGCTGATGAAAAAAGAATCGAGACAGAATTTAATAAATGAATCAAACCTTTATGTCACATACAAATGAAGTCATGTCATGTTGTATAAAGAAAACTTTAACAGTAGCTTGAACAAATAAAAATGGTGAGGAAATTAAGTCACTCCATGGCATAAATAGTACTAGGGGCATTAAAAATGTTAAGAGAACCTGTGGCTTAGCAATCAATTTAACATACATATTTGAACATATCTATTATTCAGAACCCAATTTTGCCATGCAAAATTTCTTTGTTTAATTAAAAGTAAGGATAGTGGTAAATGATCACTGATGGACAGTGTTAGGTAAAGAAAGAGATATGGTGGCCTAGCCTTAAGTTAATTATTATCTGTCTATCTATCTATCTGTCTATCTATCTATCTATCTATCTATCTATCTATCTATCTATCTATCATTTATGCTTCTTAACTCAATATCTAGTCATGGGATGATCCAATGTATTTTAGGGTAGAAATATACCTATCAAAAAATAAATCTTTATTACAAAGATACACTTAAGACATGAGTGCCTGCTAATATATCAGTAGAAATCCCTGGATGAGACTTCCAATAAAGCTCTGATTGAGATACACTCAGTAGACACGTGCCTTTTGCCTTTTGTCCTTCATAATCCTTTCTGAGTCTTAGATGTGATGGCTGGTTTTGTAGATAAGATGACTAGCTTTGAAGTTGCCATTTTTAAACCATGAGGTAATCTTCAGAGGGAAGCTACTTGCTAAGATTGTCAGTACAAATGGAAAATAGAATAGATATTGATCACACAATCACAATAGTAAACCTGGAAAACCTAATTACTTAATTGCATGTAAAAAAATAGACCTCTATTTTATTTAAAGTAATGATCCTTGTGCTTTTTGTTCATATCAGACAAATACAATTATTAACTGATGTAGCCACTTTTTTTCTTTCTTTTTTTTTTTAAAAGATTTCTTTATTTGGGCCTCCCCTAGTAGCGCAGGCGGTTGAGCTCCGTGCTATGAAACTGTCCGCAGCTTCTGCAGCGCCAGTTCGATCCTGGCCAGCCAGTGAGGGTCCCACATGGCATGACAGACTTCTGTCGTGCCCACTGTTCCCCTCAGCAGTGTATTTCATCAGTCTGCCTGTTCTATTCCCCATTCTGTCTCCGGTGAATCCTCTCACCCTCCCGCGGATCTGGCCTGTACCCCAGTTCTTTATTTATTTATGCATACAACAGCTGGGGTACAGGCCAATGGGGGTGGTGAGAGGATCCACCAGAGACAGAGTGGGGAACAGAACAGGACTGACTGAAACACACTGCTGAGGGGAGCAGCAGGTGAGACAGAAGAGGTCTGCTGTGCCAAGTGGGTTTCTCTCTGGCCGGCCAGGGATCGAACTTGTGCTGCAGAGACTGCAGATTGCTTCATAGTGCAGTGCCTAACCCCTTGTGCCACCAGGGAGTCCCTTTTTTCTGAATATATTCAGCATAAAAATATGAGACTTGTTTGAAATTACTCAGAAGGGTAGAAAAAAAAAATTTAGAAAATACATTACTTTTCTTACTGAAAATGAATTTGATTGCAAAGATTATACTATTCCTTTAAATGATTTAGATAGGAAGCAAAATATTAATCAAAACAGTATTTTAACTTGATGAATTATTTCTAAAATCATTTAAATCAATCTGACAGAGTATAACTGTTGCGTCGTGCAACAACACACTGATAAAGACACGGGAGTCGTGGAGCAGGCTGCACAAGGCAGGATGCTGCTGAGAGTAAGATGCTGGCTGTTTTTATTGATAGAATAATCACAGAGCATCAGCTACATGTGCTAGGAGGACAAGGAGAAAAGGATGGGGGAAACTCAGGAATGTTATCTAGGGCTTGTGGGGAGCACGAGTCTGCTGACCATGTTAGCAGCTTGATGGGCCTCCCCTGGTAGTGCAGCGCTTGAGCGCTGGGCTGCGAGGCTGCCTGCAGTCTCTGCAGCACTGGTTTGTTCCCCGGCCGCCGGCAAGGGTCCCACCCAAAAAAAAAAGAGAGAACACATGTTATCATGTTATCAGCTTGATGACCAGGTGTTGTAATCGAAACTAGACCCCAAACCCCCGGCCACGGTCCTAATCTTATCAACAAGGCATTCCACTGATCATCTTCTGGGGTCCCTTGTCATACATTGGTCCTCTGTCCCGGGGCGTTCCCAGTCATACCTCCATGAATCAGGAGTAAGTTTATGCATCCATCCTCAGGTCCCCCCCCCACCCTCCAACAACCCCCCTCCCCCGGGCGTTCCCAGTCATACCTCTTGATGCATACCCTTCCCAGAGTGAGCAAGCTTGCTGCTCTTGATTGATATGAAAGGCACCTTGTAAGGTTTAGCTCATATGGCTGATTGACCAATTCTGAAGGGCAGTTCTCACCTTGTATAGGAATGCAGAACTGCAGGTAACTATAATGGTGGCTGAGCAGGCTGCTTAAGTCTAGCAGCCCCGCATATAACAATGCAGTGATGTACATCTGAGGACGTGTAACCTATTCCTCTGAATCATATAAGCACTATAAATCATTGCTACACCAATAAGAAATTTAAAAAAATAAACACTCTCACAAAGAAAAATAAAATGAAATAGCTACAAAAGAATTCAAGAAAATAAAACAGTTGATTCCTACTCTATTGTAAACTAAAACAACTAACATGATATGAATCAATAATAATACAAGCAGGATGATACTGGATAACAGATATATAGGAAAACAAATTCTCAAAATGGACTGTAGGATATATGACTTTAATTGATCATAAAGCATGATATCCATGGAAATAGGGGTAAAAATAAGAACTTTGTATTATTTTTCAATGACCATAGAATTTCTTATAACTATGATTTTGGGTCATTTTCCTTATGAGACTCCATTTGGATACCAACATAATGATCATTATGACTGTGAATGTCATCAGAGAAAATAGGGATGACATTGCTCATTGGTCTTGCCAATATTCATTCTGCTTTGTCCAAGTAAAATACCAGAAATGTAGCCTTAGTGAACTCACATTTTTTATTTGTTTGTTTGTTTTTAATGAAATACATTGACATAGACAGTGCAACCAAAATCACATATCTAGAGAATCAATTGTCTATACTAGCTTCCACTTAAGGATACAGAACATTATGTCCTTTGAACTAGTACTCCTAGGAAAACTTTTTACATAGAATGAAGTCAAGGAGAGTTGCTTTTATTGGATTCTGGAACATCACTCTCCAAAGAGACAAAATTTGAAACAATCAACTTAGGTACTAAACAGGCATGATATAGTTCCATTACAAAATCTACAACTTTGAGACCAATCCATCTGTTGTGGTGAAGAATGCACTACATGCACAGAGAAGCTCACAGATCAGAGTTATCTCTGGCCTGAGAGTAAGTGCTGGTGATTATTAACAAAAAATGACTCATCCATATTGACATAGTGCTACACATTATGAATAACAACTTCAGTTAACAATATCTCTACCAACTTAAAAAGTCAAATATCAGGAAAAGATTTTAGAAACATACTCTCACTGTGAAAAAAGAACATCAAAAGTGGATGGAATTAAATGCAGAATCAAGTACTCTTGATAATATTTGGATTTGGATACATTCAAATGCTTCAAAGGGCATGCTAATTGTTTCTCCTATACAAAATAAGGATGTATCAACAAAGATAATTTTATATGATTTTCATAATTTTATTGATTTCTGAAAGTGCATTATTTAGAATTATAATATCAATATGACCTTAAAGGAAAAGTCTTGCTTTTATTTCTGGAAGCAAGTTTACAAGCTGTCACACCTGTTGTAAGCTTGTAGGTGAATATCTAAATATCTAAACAATATTTATAGATGCCATTAGAAAGCTCCATTAGTATGAACTCTGCTTGTTCTACTGTTTTGTCACTATTACATTATAGTTATTGGTATTGTTGCAGATTGTTCTCTTGATGTTTTGTAGTTTTAAACTGAGGGAAAGAACACCACTTGAATAATGCATACAAAGTCTATTAGTTTACTAAGTTTGCCATAACAAAGTACCAAAAATCAGGTAGCTTAAAACAATATAAATTTATTGTCTCACAATAGCATATTTACTTTTAGCTGAAAGTCAAAGATAATATAAGGGGAAAAAATCTGCCAAATGAAAATGTTCATTCCTTTAGTGTATGAATGCATACATCTTTAGCATTAGAGTACAGGGTGTTTACATAACCTCTGTGAACACTGCTCTGGAATTAGTACTTCAAATCTTGAAAAACAAACCAATAAAATTAACAAAATTAAGTGAAAATTACATATTCATAAACAAAAATTAATTTCAGAAAGGTGTTAGCTTGATGACATGACTCAATTGTAGCTACTTTAAAATTAAGGAGAATTTTAGCAACAAGTTCAAGGCAATACAAGCAGTCTGGTAAAATAATTTATTTAATAGTTAGCATTAAATGAATTCAACACTGGGGAACAATGCTAGACTTTAGTGTTAGATGTATATATTACAGTAAAATGAGCACCACCTGTATGGTAAGTTTTCTGCTAGTTACTACAGAGAATGCTAAGCAAGGAAAGACATATTCCTCAAGTATATAATAATCAGTATAAATTCAAAAGAATGCAAAGAGACAAACTTGGAGAAAGACAGGTGAAAATGAGAAATCTGGGGACCAAAATGATGTACCATATAGTGATAAGACTCTATATCTAAAACTTATTTAATATTATAAACAAATGTTACTTCAATTTTTAAAAAAG